TTCACTTTCCTGCTCTTGTCTATTTTGCGTCTTTCTGTGTAAAACCCCCCAAACTTGAAATCTTTCCAAGACTATTGGGAAAGTTGGCTCGTTTGTTATTTTAGTTGTTAGAGATGTGATGGTTTTATTTTTTTTTTCACTGCTTTATACATAGAAATGTTTTTTCTATGTATGTGATCGTACATTTGATTCTAAATTGGGTCAGAATTTGTGGCTTTCACATGTACTGATTGGATCATGTGCTCCTTGTAGACAGACTGATCTTAATCATGGTAAAATAATATTTTTTCATACTTTGTGTGTATCTGTGATTGAATTGATCGTGTCTAAACAAGCTGATAGACTAGAATCAGGATAAAATACAGCTTAAAATATGCAGGACATCTTTCATCTGTCTTCACCTTTCTCAAGTTGTATGCATTTTTTCCAGCAATTTAAATCAGTATGCCAGAATATGGTGGTGGTGTGTGCATAATCTTATGCATACAACAGTGTACAGAAGAAGTTGATTACAATATACATATGTTTCTGTTTTTTCTTTCTTTTTTTTTTCTTTTAGAAAGCTATGTCAAAATGAGTTTTATTTAACTTTTGGGTTTACTTTGCCAATCCATATGGAAAACCTTATACTGAAGACAGACTAAGAATTTAATGTATACTAACCTTAAAAGTTTGTGTCTTTAGGAAGTTGAATAGCTGCATTTTTTAAATTGTTATAGACAAGAAAAAGTAGTCAAAGGAATTACTTAATATTGCAGTCTTCAGTCGTCTTGATGCTGTAGATTGGATGTTCCGTACATTGATTCAGTAACGAGCGGGCGTTAGTCGGTTATCTGGGTCCTATCCAGATCAAGTGATGAGCTGCTTTTCCTATAGATGCATCAAAATCACTTTTCAGCGGGAGGGCTCTAGTCCTGTCAGCAGTGTCGTGACAGCACTGGGGTTTTTAGCATGGGCTGCCAAACCCGCAATGGCTTTAATGCCGTCAATGTGGCTAGTCCACAGCGCGTGCCGTATCGCGGGGCCTGCAGGGGCAGCAGTGCTTGAGGTAATCGCTTAGTTGCCCTCGCCGTTGTTTGCCCGCGGTGTAGGTGTCCTGCTCCTTTCCAGGCAGGGTTGGGGCTCTGCACCAGGGAATGTGGCCTTTCTTTATCCCTTTCATGTGGTATGAAGCCATGGGACTCAAGATCTGCGGTCATCAATATCATCTTGTGTCACATCAAAGCAAGAGGCAATAGTGGCTGTTTGCAGGAGGAGAAATTCCACTTAAAGAGAAGGGGTCCCCAAGGCTTTGCCTGGGGGTGGTGGAATCTGGGCAAGACGAGGTCCTGAGCAGCCAGCAGCAGGGCCCTTAGCTGGGCGTTGGGCTGGGGGATCTCCAGTTGTCCCTTCTAACCTGAATTATTCTATGGTAATCCGACTGAAGGAACAGATTAACTTGCTTTTTGGGTGAGAAGTCTTGTAAAGTTAAATAAGGCCTGTTTTAAGCTGCATTGCAGTTACACCATATCATTTAATATAGCGTATATATATTTTTACATGCCTTGTTCTCAGTTGAGCCTAGATACTTAAGGCACCTTTACATACACTGTGGAAGCTACCCACAGGCACGCAGACTGATTTAGTGGTGTGTTTTAAAAGTGTCAAGAACTGAATCAGCTTAATTAAAAATGCTCTCTTTGCTTATGCATCACGAGGAAAAGAGTTAGTCAAAAGCCAACTTGCAGCATAATAGATGTTAAGCCTTTTGTACAAGAAGGTGTTTCTATGGATTTAAATGCATGAGTATGGCTAATAAGGTTTAATTTATTTGAAAAGTGACTTCAAGGCATAACTCATAGCCAGCAAATTGTGGATCAAATGCCACAGTGAGCATATGAAAAGCAAAAAAGTGAAAGTGAGCATATAAGCAGCTAAATTTTCACTTGAATTCTGCTCTGAAGAGACTTGCTTGGTTAGTAATGTGCTTAATTTGTATGAGTGTGTGGGAGTTTGAGGAGAGTGTAATGTCAGGAAATCGTACGAGAGCTGAGTAAATTATGCTTCTAAAAGCTAAGAACAAAGAAAAAAATCTTGCATAACACCCAGTTAATGTTTCTTCATTTAATGTGAAAGTGCCATTTGGTAACTATGGAAAATAATGGAAAGTGTGCCCATGCCATTGGAACTGCTCCACTGAAGTTACCACCTAACTGGCGTTGCTCTGGCTTCACTCTGCACGTTTGTTACATGAACTCGTATTTGCAGTTACAAGGTTAAAGGTATAAACATAAACTAAAAAAATTGATGAAAATAGATAAAATATTTTTCTCTAATAGAAATTTTATTAATACAGCGTGGGAGGACTAATAGGATAGGCAGTTCTTTAAAAGAGATGAAAGCGGGGTTTGGCTGTTGCCGTTTCGCTTTCATTTTCTGCGGGCAGGACTGTGACTAGTCAGTGCTACTACCCTTAGATTTCAGTTGCAAAGTTACTTTTACCAGGAGAGAATAAGTTATATTACAAATCAAATGTGTCTTGATTTTTCCTGTTATAGCCAGCTTGTATAATAATAACTATTTCAATTTGTTTTCAGTGATGCCTTTTTGAAGAGCGTTTGAACATACATTGTAAGAAATGAGTGCAAGTAAGAAATGTGGCCAGTATAAAGTAGTGATCCACACAGTCTCTTGAAAGATTTTAAATGCCTGTTTTTTCACTCAAAATACTACTTTTTTACTGAAAAAACAGTGTATTAACTTACAATGTCAAAAATAGGCAAGGGAATTCTTGTTTCTGGGAATGTTCAATGTATATAAAATTGATATTCTAAAATGACATCCGTTTGCTTGGGGCAGGGAGAGATTTAAGTGTTTACATATCTGCTCTCATTTTGTAACCATCTTAAATATACATTTAGAGTTTGGGGGCGAAAGGTTAAAGATATTTTAAAATATTAGGTATATTCCAGTTTTGAAGATTAGAATTGTTTTGATTAGAACTGCAGGCTTACACCGGGTTGTGTGTGTGTGTATTTTTTTTTTAAGATAAAATTAGGATTTTGGTGTTTCTTGGACAGGATTTTCATTATGTGCTGTAGTTTCCAGCTGTGTTTTCTTACGAAGCTTAGGTTTTTGTCGCTCACTTCTGGTGTGGTAGGTTGGAATGATCCATTGGAAACCTATTCTATTGAATTTCCTTTGGAGAGAGATGCTTTTCCTGCCTCGCGCTGGGAGGGAGAGCTCTTTGATGTTGCAGGATGAATCATGGTCGTCATGGGCACGTTCAGCCAGCGCTGCGCATAGACGCCCGAGAAGGTGACTAAGAGATTCAGCTGCAGAGAGACTGGTAGGTAGTAGAAAGTTTTGCAAATGAGGTATTGACAGAATCTAAGAATTGTTTTGTTGTTACCCTCCTCCAGATACTGAATCACTTATTTAGCAAGTGGGAAAGCTTTTAATGTATTCAGGAAATGTGCTGCCAATTTGATAGGAGAAGTTGTCGTTGTTTGGAAAGGAATTACTAAATAGTTCTAGTGGACATATTTTGCTGTAACTGCATTTTTTCCTGTTAAATACTGTGCTAGAAGGATGATCATGTTTTTAAGCAGTCATGTGTAAGTGTTTGGCTTAGAGCCTTGCTCTGTTAGTTGATAAAGAATTGGAATAACTAAGAGCTTCTGCAGAGGTACCTTTTAGTAACAGGGATTTCTGAATGCTTTCAGAACCTGCAAAGAGCTGTAGGATGTAGATTATCTAAAACTTCTTGATCACTCAGCCTCTTGTGTTAAGAGACATTTGAGAGCTGTTAATCTTTCTTGTTTCACTCAACCTGTGAATTTTGCTTTGATTTCTTTTGCAGAGCCACGTTCGCATCGGTGCCTTGGTGTAGGGTTGCGTGTGGCTCCATGGTGTGTCACAGTGCCCTGCTGGGCAAGGGTGCCCCTCGTGGCAGTGACGTGTTACCTGCCCTGGTGGTGAAATTACCCTGGGAGCTTTGCAGCCAGCAGAGGTGACAGGCGGGGGACAGGGAAGGCAGATGCCGTGATTGGAGCAGGTTACTCTATGTGGTACATTATACACACATATTTTAGTGCAGGGGACTTAGAGGTTGAGCCGAGTCCTCGTGCTCACCAGGTCGCTGCCACGACTGCGGAGCAAGCGCAGCGTCGGCGGCTGCGTGGGCCGTGGTCAGTAAGCTGCTCTCCAGGGCAAGCCTGCGCTCCTTGGGGCCCTCCCGCCTTTCAACTGTTGGATTTGTCGAAAATGAGCTGCATGTGGGATTTATTCACTAAGGCCAGGTATTAAAATCATTAGTTCATTGACTTATTTTCCTAATTTTCATTTTATGATGAAATGCAAATATATTACAAATGTTATGTGTAAATTATTGTATCCTTGTGGCAGCGGCCAAAGTACTTCCAAGAGTTCAGGGATGGACCATTAAACATTATTGAAATTTCAGTGGTGTAATAGAGATCTGTGCAGCTATAAAAAGCCTCACCCAGTAACTCATACTTTTCTCTCCCCCCTGGAAATTTAGTACCACATTAATGTTAGAAAGTAAATTAAAATGAATTAGGGCTTTTACACTCATCTGTAGAGTACCGTACTAGGAGTACGGTGCTCCCAACAACCTTTCCATGTTAGAGGGATTTCTTGATTCTTACCATGTGCTTGCTAGAAGGCAGGACTCGGGCACCTCTGGCCGTCCATACTGGCAGTTAATACTGTGTAGTTTTTTTGTCAAAACAAGCAGAGAACCAGTCCTGCTTCCCAGAACCAGGTGACCATTTAAACTACTTGTAATAACCTTGCTCAGCTGTGGTTTTGCAAACCTATTTGTGGAAAATCTGTGGATGGTGTGTCTGTCATTTTGAAGTTTAATTTTATAGGCAGGAGAGCTGGAAAAAAAGAACAGCGTTGTGTTTATATGTGTTTTGATTGTTCGTTTTTGCTTTGCTTTATCACTGCAGAGCGTGGCGAGGCGGCCCCCGCCCCGCTCCGCGCAGCCGAGCGCGATGGATCGCCTGGGGCCGGCGGACGCCGAGGAGGAGCCGGGCGCGCTCGCGCGCCTCGCGCCCAGCGCGCACAGCGAGGCCGTCGCGCACGAGTTCCAGGAGCTCTCTCTGCAGCCCAGCCAGTATTTACCTCCCCTCAACGAACGGAAGAATGGTGAGTGCCCGAGAGACTCGCTGCCTTTCCCCTTCCTGCCTGAGATGTTTGCTCTGGGCATGTTTGCTTCATTCACGTCACGTAACTCAACGGCCTGTGGTCGTTCTTGTCCGGGTTAATAAAGTAGAGCTAAGGTGCTGCTCTGTTATGACATCTGTCCTGATCAGCTTCATCCGGCAGGGCAGGTAGCAAGCCTGACTTAAAACTCCCAGCTGGAGCATTTTGTTGAGCCATATGGAAGGGGTGGATTTATATTTTAAAATAGTTTAAAAAAAAAAAAACTACAGCCAGTGATTAATGAAAGTATTAATCAGATGTTTTTGCAAAGGAGTTATGGTATTGCTAGATAAAAAAGGGATAATTTTCATGAACAGTTTGGGTTTTTTTTTATTATTTAGAAAAATCATTGCAGAATTGAAGTCCCACATCGCATCCTAGATAGTTCATTTCACCACATAGTTTAAGGATGAACCATGAAGGTAAAACAAGATTTATGTTTAGGAAAGCCTTCCAGTATCTTTCCTCATTGTTGATGTTGGCGTGGTAACTTAGGAGAAAAAGTGTTTCCACTGCCACGGTAAGCACCGGGAAGAAGTAAGTCTTGATCTAAATGTAGGCTCATTTTTACTGGGGAGAAGTTAGTAATTTGGTTGTTTTTCTTCTTTTCCCCTTTTCTTTCCCCCACCCCCCTTTGCTACATCAGTTTGACTGCAGTAAGTTAGTAATGCATTGGGATGTCATGGTATAAGCATTATTAAAAAGGAGAGATTTATGCAAGTATCTGCTTAGCTTATATATTGGTATATATTTTTTTCCATGTGTAAAGTTTTTGAATGAATGCTGTGTTAACTGATAGAGTTTATTTAAGCAAATTAAGGCACCCATGTATAATTTCTTAACACTTGGCTCTACATCTGCAAGAATGATTTTCTGTGAAGCAGAAAAACATCCATACCTTGGGGACATTAGTTTTCGTGGTTGGCTCTCTGATGTCAAATTGATGGAGGTACCTCCATATCAGAATAAATTTTAAGATTAATTCACAGCCTTTTACCTTTCATCAAGAAAGCAACAGCAATATGTATTTAAGGAAAAGTATTTAAGACTTTGATACTTAGGGCCTTTGGTTTGTTCAGAGAACACAGGAGATCTTTAAAAAGAAAGGGAAGGGGAGGAAGGAAAAATGACTGAGTTGAGGGCCTTTCTGCCCTCTGTGCCAGGGGACTTGAGACCTGTTACCCTGTTATTCTTCTCTTCATTATTCAAGTAATTCCTGCTTTGACTTCGGGGCCTTTCGAGCAGACCTTCCGCAGTGATTTAATGCCCTGTGCAAAGAGGTTTAATTGTATGAAGTTCATGATAGGTCTGTGGCTATATTTCATCCATGTTTGTTTAAAAGGCTTGGCCAAAGGGCCGAGCAAAGCTTGGGCATCGTTTTCAAGGCAATTTTTAGTTCAATCCTATTAATATCAGTAGTAAAAGGAGAAGGCTCAAGAAAGAGAACTGTGAGGCAGATTAAGAAATCTTACCTACCCCCCTCCTTTTTTTTTGTAATTGGGCAAATACAGCCTGGACACACGAAAGAAATTTTCCTTGGTTTTATGTAGCTTTTCTCATGTCACTTAAGCTCTTTACCACTGAGAATGTCGGGCTGAATAAATCTAGATTTGTTTTACCCAGCAAGTGGCTAAATTGCTGTGGCTGCCAAGTCTCCTTTTTGTGAGACATCTTGTTCTATAAAACCAGTCCAGAAATTAATGGGTCTGAGTGTATGGTTTTTTGTGATAGAAATAAAAGGCAGTTCACTGAGATCCTGCCTGCTTTTTTATTTTAAGCTTTGTTGCAAGTGACATTTTTTTAGTATTTAAATAACTCCTAAATGTGCTCAGGGAGGCAACCTCATTCTTTTCCTACCTTTCTGTGAAATAGCTGAATATATCTGACTTCCTAGACTGACTTTATGCTGACTGGCTGGTTTTGTGGATGCGCGTGTTCAAATCGGTTCCTTAGTACAACCCAAAGGTGTTGGGGCACTTCCATCATCCAGAGCACCCAAAGTATTTTGCACACCCATATTTCCATAACCAACCTGTAGTTAGTTATTTTTGGTTAATGAATTAATGAAATTACTCTTTTTTTTTTTTTTTTGCATGAGAAGATTTGAGAAAGTAAAATTTGACTTTGATGCAGCTATATTAAAAATCGTTTAAATAAGTCATAATTTTGACTTTTTAACAGTATTTTAAAGTGTTCATAAAACTTCATAAAACCTACAAGTACTTCAGGACACAAAAACACAATGATGTTTAGTGCAAGAGATACGAAGCGTTGCCGGGTTTTTTGCTGAAGCACTTTGTGCAGATGCAGCACGCTTGCGGTGACCTTCAGCAGTGGGATCCTTTTACCCTCTCATTCACTCCGACGATCTCTTGTGGCCGCAGTCCAGTAGGTGCCTGTGACTCCAGTGTTGTTCTGCTGCTGTGGCACTGGCTCCCAGTGCAGGAACTGCATTTGCTGCTTTTTTTCGGTCGCACGGACGGTGTGGGAGGCCCATGGTTTGGGCCCAGGGACTGTGGGCACAGAGCAGGGCAGCTCCCGTGAGCGCATCCCACTGACTCTGGTACAAATCTCATGGCTTGTTAAACGTTGCTGGAGTTTTAATGTCCCTTGAATGAGCGAAGGAACATTTATGTGCTCTGCCAACTCTTTTGAAGGGGTGGTAACTTATTATTTGCAATTAATAAGTTGTGGAATTAATCACAAATAGAGAGCAATAGCATCTTAAGCCCCCCCAGCTCTTTACCAAATGCAGGTTCCTACTGCCTGATTAAGGACTTAAGGATAATTTCTTTCAGGAAGTGGCAGAGACAAAAGCAGCAAAATATTCCCAACCTCTCAAATTTTTCAGATAGATGCGATCATTCAGATGTATCTGTGAAATGTAAATATTAACCAATTCATATTTTAATTATGGCCAAGTAATGGGAGTTTTCAAGTTGAATTTTCTAGATAAAGGTTATATCACAGGACTAACTAAATCATCCATAAAGCAAGCAGGCATTTTTGATTGAGATTAAAGCAAAAAATGGTTTACAGAAGGTAACCTCAGTGTGTTGGTGCATAGTAACAAGGAATCCTGTCTGAGATGTTGTGTGTTGCTCTTCTGGACTATCAGAATTGTAAGGTTTCCCTTTTTCTTTCAACCAGCTGTTTTGACGTTAGCAGCTGTGGGCGGTACTGAATTGCTAATGTAATTAATTTGAATGTCTCGTTAGCCAGCTATGTATTTCTGGGTAGTTGGGCAATGCACGCGAGACGTCTGCGTTGCGAAGTGCAGTGCCTCACGCTGTGGAGAGCCCACGAGCAGCAAATCTCCTTTCTGTGGGCTCAGGGGGAGCTCTGGCTACTTCTGTGCTCTGCTCAGCGCCTGTGACGATGGCAGGGAGTGGATAAAAGCAGAGAGAACCCTGTGATTCAGGGCACTGCAGCCTTTGCACTGTGTGAAGAGCAGTGCAGGTCCGTGTGGCAATGAGTGTCCTCTCCAGTACCTTGGAATGGGGGAATATTCAGGGCTGCATCACTGTCTGGTAGGGATTGTGTGTTTTGTGCCGGAGATGCTACAAAACTGGTGGTGGTGTCTGATAGATCTCATGCCGTGGTGACTAACTGCTCCGCGAGCTTTCGGAAGAACGTTCCCAGAGGTTAGCAAGTCCAGGCCATTCCTGCCGCCCGCTCAAGAGAACAGTGTCCTGGGCTGCTTCAAAGCTGTGATATTCAGGAACCAGGAGCTCGAGGCGTACAGGTCGGAGGACTATGACAAATTCCTAGGGAGTCACTGGGGCTTGCGGGGAACTGAGTGAGTTATGGGGAAGACAGAAGGAACCCTTTCCACATGGTGGCTGTTGAGTTGCTCCAAAGGAGCAGTCGAGCCAGCTGCCAGGCAGCCAGTTCACCAAATAACCGCACGAAACACCCCACTTCACCTAGTGGCAGTGCTGAGGTAAGCGCGATGCCCCAGGGCGGCTTTTCTGGCACCTGGAGAGCGTGCGTGTCTTGGTTTCTCAGCTCCTCCTGGCCTCGGCTTCCTCGCGGCGCAGCGCGGTAACGCCGCCCGCCCGTGGCTCGGCCGCGTGGCTCCGGAGCAAGCGCTCACATCTGAGCTGCCATTTTGGTGCTGAGGGAGCAGGTGAAATTTAGCCTTGGCTTCTTTTGTTCTTTTTGACCCCCCACGGTTTGTTCATTCTCTCTTTCTCTTCCCCAGAACTCTGTTTAGGTGCTTTTCCTCTCGTCATGGTATATATTAGATTACAGTGCTTGGGGGTTATTTTCCTGGAGTGTTTGGAGAGATAAAGTGGAGGAAAGATGGATGGTGGAAAGGCTAGAGAATGAAAACAAAATATTCTGGCTTAAGTAATAGATTGACACAGAAAATAATTGGAAACATCAACTTAAATTCAGCAATTTCGCAGTCATTAACCTGAAAGCAGTGAGATCTGGGAAACAGCACACAGATGGGCTGTGTTCTGATTAACAACAACAGCAAAAATGCAAACCCGGCTTAGATTTACATATACCATTAATAAATGAAAAATATTTTTCATCTAAGACTTTTGTTTAAAATTTTGCTGGCCCTCGGAGCATCTATTACATGTATGCTATTAAATAATCCTTTGTGAAAACTTAGAGAATGTTATAATTAATGTACATATCGGTCTCTGTATTTATTTTTGTATTTTTTAAAGAAATGATGTCAGAAAAAAAACAAGTGTCATCTAATGCATTTATTCTTTTGTCTCCCCTGTAAATATTTGAATATCACGCTATCTGTCAGGAGCGGAGAGCGCATATGGAGTAGGTGCTCGTTTCCCAGGAAGTCTGTCTTTGTCATGGGTACTGCCAGTTCCCACAATCCTAGCATTCCCAGGGCATCAGTCAGTGTCTACAAGGAACAATTTTCAAATATTAAGGCATGTGAAAAGACATACAGGCCAAAACTCAGA